ATAATCTATACTTCTGTTTTTCTAAAATGTTTTTAAGAGCCCCTATTAAGAATCAATACATCCATACTCTGAAATTCACACATAAATACACACTAAAAGCCAATCAGAAAGTAATAATGAAAACACACCTGGTAAACAACTAACTTTTAATTCAAAGGATTCTAAGTAATAAAGGGCCTAGAATGAACATCCCAATTAGCCAGTGTAGTGACAAGCAGTCAACACCTTATTATTTAATCATTAAAGAGAATCGTGCCATAATTTCCCTTTGACATATTTCAAAAAAGAAATTAAGAGTGCACCACATGGCCCACAACAATAGTCAAAAGGAAAGGTAGATAATTCCAAGACCCCTTTGCTTGCAAGGCCTGTGGACTGAGAGGTGCCAGGACTAAGGCATTAAGTGGGACCCTATGAAGTATTTACAATTTAAATGAGATGTATCCATGTGTAAGCATTTAGAAACAAACTACTTGACAAGGGGATCATTTTCCTGTTTCCTGATGTTTGTGTCCAGTGTTCTTATTGGATGAAAATAAATTGACCACATTTCTAGTATTAGCAACTATCCGATGGCCTTATCTGTCTTTTTTTTTTTTCTAAAACAGCAGATCCAATTCATCAAGGACATTATGCTGTCCCTTGCCCTTCCATCCCCATCCCTGACCATAAACACCTCTCCAAAAGACAAAGCTCAAATCTCCCTTAGATGCACCCTCATCCCCCTTTGCAGGGAGGGAGTGTTTTCAGTCAAGTACAAGTTCAGTGTTAAGACTTTAGATTTTAAACTATGCTTCGGAAACAACATTCCGGACTTTTAAAATAAAACAATCGCCACCAGGGCTCTCTGGCCCACTTGAGAAGCAAAGCTCATTGGCCCAGGCTGCCCTGGATATCTGAGGCCGGGCGGGCTGGCTCTCCAGCCTGGGCCTTCACTGCCCCGGCTGCCGTCCCCTCCCCTGGGAGCTCACCAGCACTTGGCATTTAACCTGCCTGGGGAGCGTGGCTTTCTGGTTCCATCTCTGAGAGCCACATTACTTCTCCCCGGATGTCAGAGACAAATCTGGATTAACATGCAACAGGGCGCCGGGTGCAGCCTGGCAGCCCTAGCCCCAGAGCTGTTAAATGCAGATTCAGCCCAGGATCCCCCGGAGAGCTGCTGTTGAATAAAAATTGTAATCCAAAGGGACCTTTTCGTTGCCTCCTGCTGCTTGAGGGAGAACCCGGGCTGGAGCCCAGAGCACAGGCCCTGCTAGTCCCCGCTCCCTCCGAGCAGGCCGGGCCACCGGGGAGGCGGCCTTAGGGGCCCGGAGACCTTTCGCTCCTCTCCCCTCTCCCTCAACCCTGTCCTGGAGTGAAAAATGCTTCGATTCCAGGAGTGGCGAACAACGGACAGCCCTGGGACGGCTTCATTCGACGGCTCCTTCTCGGAGTGCGTCCTGGATCTGCCCGCTGGGCGGTCAGGCTCTTCCCCGCCTAACCCCTCTGCGCGCCCCCAGTTCCACTCTGGACCCCCAAACACCCACCCTCGTCCCTTCGGATCTGCATCCTTCTCCACCACCAACCTGGCTCAGCCCTGGCCTCGACGCCTCGCACCCGGGTCCCCCTCTACACCCACTCCCGAGTCGCAGCCCTGCTCTCATCCCTCGCCCAGTCCCCGAAACCCCCAGGACCCAGTCCTCCCGAGCCCCGAGCCTCAAGCCCCGAGCGTCCCTGCGGAGGCCGCGGACCTGGCCGTCGGGAGAGGGCGCCCGGGAGGGCTGCGCCCGCAGGGACCTCAGGGCCTGGGAGTGGGAATGAGGGGAAGACGGGAACGGGGGACGGGATCACTGCTTCTACCGTCGTCTTAATGTGATTTTTTTAAAAAATAAAAATAAAAAAGCCAACAACTCTACAAGGCCAAGTGGATTTCCACAGACTCAGCCTTCGGGGAAACCGGCTGGTGTCAGAGCCGTCGATCCCAGGTCCCTGCGCGGATGGCAGTCTTCACGCCCTCCGAGGAAAAAAGTAAAATAAAATAAACCTGGCCGCCAGCAGGCCCTAGAGACAGAGGGGTTAATGAGCTAGCGAGGCACCGCGTTCGCGCCACACCTGAAGCATCTAGTCCCGCAGCGCAACCTCTGCCGGGGCTCAAACTGCCCAGGCCGCCTTCGCAGACAGGTGTCGGGGCTGTCTTTCCTGGGTCTCGCCCCCCCGGGTGCCCCACTAGGGGTCCAGCGCCCCCAGGGGCCGGCCAGCCAGCTCCAGCCGGGAAAACTGGCGCCCACCTGGCGGCCCCCGTGCCCTGTCTCTGCTCCCAACCTCCCAGAACAGGGGACAAACTCCGCTTCGAGGCGCAGCCCTCGAGTGCCCCGCATTCTGCGCTCCCCGTTCCAAAGGGAGCCCAGGCACCTCGCTCCTGGCTCCTGAGAAGCGGTCCATTAGACAGACCGAACTTGGGGCCGGCCAGCAAGCTCCAGCCGGGAAAACTGGCGCCCACCTGGCGGCCCCCGTGCCCTGTCTCTGCTCCCAACCTCCCAGAACAGGGGACAAACTCCGCTTCGAGGCGCAGCCCTCGAGTGCCCCGCATTCTGCGCTCCCCGCTCCAAAGGGAGCCCAGGCGCCTCGCTCCTGGCTCCCGAGAGGCGGTCCATTAGACAGACCGAACTTGGGTTTGCTGCCCTCCGACCATCTGAGACCTAGGGGAGCTGGGAGGTCTGGAGAGCGCGCCCCACGCGCACAGGCCAACAGCGCCACCAGCTCCGCCAAAGCTGCGAAGCCCCCTCCTGAGCGGCGGGGGTGGGGAGCTCGCTTCTCATGGCAGAGGTGGGGGAGGAGAATAAAACGCGTATTTTCACCCAATAGAAGTGCCTACCGACCTGCAGGTCTCAAGTTAAAGTAATTGTGTACCAAAGTTTGCCGAGGGAGTAGGGGGAAGAACTCACTGATGGCACATCAACTTTGTATGCCCCCCAAAGTACCCCATAACTTTGGTCCTTTATCTTTGACTTTAATAAAATAATGATTCGTTGAGAAAACGGGGCATAAATCTTCATTTTGGAGGCAATTAAAGTGTTGATTTCATTCATGCCCCTAAGCGATTCTTGTAATTTGCTCAAATAGCTTTATGTACCCAGCACTAGAAGCTTTTAGAATCCCATTTTCTAGTTAGGCTTGTTGGATTACAATTTTTATTCAACAGCAGCTACCCAAGGGTTCCTCGGCGGAATCTGCCTGTAACAGCTAACA